GCAGAGCCCAGCTGGCAAGCACAGGAGGCGGGGTTTCCGATGCTTCGCGCTGTTTTTTCAGGCGTGCGTGGCTTCCGCGTTACCGGCAACTGGTCCTGTCTCCCGTGCAAGGCGCCGCCAGCATTTTTCCTCCCACTGGGGTGAGAGTACCCATTTATCTACTCACGGATGCTTTCAAGCTGCTGGGTTAGCAGAAGCTAGGGATGACACAGGAGCTCACTCTGCCACGTGGAGCTGGGCTCGAACTGCTGAAGTGTCGACCATTTCTGACCTGCAATTTTCAGCATCCTTAAGCCACTGCGCCACTGCATCCCCTATAGAAAGAAATACACAATATTAAAAAAAAGTAAAAACAAAGTTTGAACTGAAACTTCCATTTTTTTTTTAATTAGGAATTGTTCAAGAACATATAAATAAAGTGTGCCACAATTTATTAAGATATATGCTGATGGCTGCGATGGCAAATCTAGCTCAACTTTAGAAAACAAACACTTTGCCAACAATATCAGACTGGGAAACCAAACGCAGCAATTAAGAGTATACATTCAGAACAGAAGTTTGACTAACTTTAAGCAACAATGGCTCTTCTATATATCATATGTTACACAGAAAGGTAAATGATGAGACAGTAGTATTTTTAAGGGGGAAATAATTGACATAAGGGCTGTAATCACAAATAATTTTAATAAATATACTGATGTAATTATCAGTTGGGTACAATGGGAGGGAATTTAAATTACCATATATACTCACAAGATAAGTTGAGAATTTTAGGTGCCAAAATACACCTCAAAAATTGGGTTTGGCTTATCTATGGATGGGCTTATCCGTGGATATATATGGTAATAAAGTGCCCATATATTCTGTATATACTCACAGATAAGTTCATCCATGGATAAGCTGATCCTCAAATTTTTAACCAAAATACCATGAAAAATGTGCCACCCGTGGATAAGCCAATTAGGAAAATTAAAACATAAAAATGTTGAGGGCCAGCTTATCCTCAGGTGGCGCATTTTTTATGGTATTTTGGTTCAAAATTCGAAGGTCAGCTTATCCACAGATGGGCTCATATGTATGCAAGTATATATAGTATGTCATTTTCTAATATTGTTTTTACTGATTTTTCTTTTTCTTTTTAATTTCTTTAATCCTTTACATGATTATGTGCATTATCTTTGGAATATTGATAAATAGTGATGATATTAGTATCATGATGAGGGTTTCAGAGAGATGTCTAGTTATTTTTTTTTAAATGACACAATGAACTAAATTCTATATATTGTGGATTCAGTCTGAAGAAAATGCACAACACTGAGGGAAAGAACCATGTTTATTGCAACAATTATCAGGTGCCTGCTGTACAAGAAAGAGGGCCCCTGAACAATAGAAAAGCTAGGTTTCTTTTTAATAGAAGTTGAGGGCTTCAAGGTGAGAAACCCTAGGGATCTGATTGGCTGACCAGTTTGGGAAAGCTAGGTATGTACATGGAGTAAGTTCTATTGTTAGGCATAGCGGGTCTTTCAGAAGGCAGAGCTGAGGAAGCCTATTATTAAGGAGACGGAATGTTGAGGTCATCAGCTGATAGAGGATAGAACAAGGGGGTTGCAATTTCCTTGTAAGCGCTACCCTTGGGCTGTACTGTTAACTGGTGAGGAGGCTTCTATTCTTGGGTTTTAGATGGGACTGCAGGGGGCTTTGTCTAAGGCAGGGAGGCTCAGTTTGGGTCTGAAGAGATTAGGCAAAGAGATGAACTGGGTTTGACTCTGGTCATATCCAAAAGACAAGGGGGGGAAAGGGTGCAGTCTGTTTTGTTTCTTAGATTTATTTTCTCCACCATGCTTATCATTCGATCAATCACTTAATTAAATAATGAACTTTGATGATCATTGTAAGCTCCCTGTTTATTTACTAAAATTTTATTCTATATTTCTTTTTATCTTTTTTGCAGCTATTTATTCTGTTCCTTCAAATGTTTTAATAAAACTACAGTATAAAAAAATAAAAAACTATATAAAAGGAACTGAGAATCATAGCTGGTTTTTAATTGCCAACTTGTTCTTTGACAGGTCAAGAGAAAACAGAAATACATCTTAAGAGATCTAAAAAAATCTGGTCTATCTTTAAAATAGTGTCCACTATCCTTTTCTTAAGCTCTCAGACCAAAAAGTTACATACAATTTCACATACCCTCATGTATGAGATTTAAATGACTTCCACCTCCCCTCTTTGATTGATTGACTAATTATGTGCTATCACATTGTTATCAACTCTTAATGACCATATAGATAGATTTTCTCTGACAATCAGTCTCTAACCTGGTTCTTCAGGTCTTCCAACAATGGTTGCACCCATTGCCACTGTAATTTGAGACCTTGCTCCTGGTCGTCCTCTTCATCCTTCCTTCCATTTTTCTCAGCATTACAGCCTTCCTATATTGCTGCTGCCCAACATAGGTTCCTGTTTGTTTTAGCTGGGCAGCTGGAATAACCTTCACGCTTTGGATGAATATATATCTTGAATATACAGTATGATGAATATATCTTGGCATATATCATTATGTTCTTCACACATCTCTCCCAGGAACACCCTCCTCCCCCGCATGATGAGGTGGCACAGCAAGACTTGTGGTGGGGGTGATGAGCCTCTAGTGGGAGTGAGAAAGTAGGAACAAGGTAAGTCATCGTTGTATCAACTGCAAGATAATTAAAAAATGGCAGCTATTTACCAGCAAAGAATATAGCAGCCTGGCAGACAAGGACAAATGGTTGTACAGGGCAGTGACCAGCCACTGGAGGGAAGGGAACCTCCAGCACTATAGCCAATTATAGCCACTATAGCTGTCACTATGGAAAGAGGCTACAGATCACCAGCTCAGGAACATTCTGGACAGCAAATGGCAGTTTTGAAGCAGAGCTTCAAAAACACAGATGGGGATGCATTTGCTTGAAGTGGACGGTGGATAACTTCATCTGTTCCTGCGCTGAATAAGTGGTGTGTGGCAGTACTGGTTATGGAGCAGACAGAAAGTGTGGACCTATCCTTATTGTCTGCACAAACAACGGGGGTGACTGTTGGAAGTAGGGTGTGTGAGAAGGCAGGGAGAAGTGAGGGCCTCAAACGAACCATGTTTGCTAGGGGAGAGCGCTGTGCACCAGGGGGCAGCCTTGGGGGGGACGGCAGGAGGGATGAAATACTGTAGACAGAAGGCACGTTCGCACCAGAGTGAAGAGAAACGGCATGGGGCGGCTGGCGGGGCAAGTGGGGATTGCAATGTGTATGGCGCTGATTGGATTTGGGAGTGGAATGTGTGCGGTTTTGCGGTTAAATAGCGGCGCT